AAATACCCCAGACCTCCCAGTTTTGCTAGTGCGACTGTAATTACAAGTATCCTATCCTAGCTGATCGAACAAATACAGTTAACCATAACACAAGCAAAATTTTCAAATTTTCATTATCAGTGAGATTCGAACTCTTGACCTGCCACTTGGAAAATGATAACTTGACCACTTCGCTATGTCACCACACCCCTAAATTTAATCTTTGTATAGTGTATGATATTTAAAAATTATACAAACTTTAAAAAATTAATAACTTTTGATTTAAAAAAGATATTTAAAAAAAGAAACCACTATTTTGTAGCTAAATTAATCTACTACAATCTAGTGGTTTTATTTTTTAAAAAGTTATAATAACTTTTTAATATATAGCTTTAAAAATATAGTATTTTTATATAATTAGATATAAAAAATCAAAAATATAATACATTTAAAATGAAAAAATTTAACCAATCAAAATCCAAGAAATTTGGCCAATCAAAATTAAGCAACTTTAAAAACATCAAAAATCAACTTTTTAAATTTTAAATTTTTAAATTTTAAAAATAAAAAAATGATACTATTAAAAAAATAGATTTTTACTTCAAATAACTAGTGGTGATAATTATTACCCATATTTTTAAGATTAGAGTATAGTTTTAAAGTGTAATAGAAATCAGATATAAAGATTCAAATTTTAGAATCAGGTTTTCAGAAATTCTAAACACTTTGCTTAGTATTTTAACGGTTTTGGAAATAAGCACCCCGGTGATAATCACCGGTTATAGTTAGTACTGTATATTAAAATTTTTTAAACAGATTGTCTAAAATTATACAGCCTACAGAATCTATCAAGTAATTATAATGATATTATTTCAATATTTATATTACGTACGTACAAAGTTGTAAGAAAAAAAAAACTATTTTCGTAATCTTTAAATCATCACAAGATGAGGAAAGATCTTCATTTTACAGATTCGGTTTATATACTTTATGCGTAGACTTGACTAAATTTTGTAAATACAAAGATCATAATCCATATCAGGAAAATTACACTACGCGCGTGGCTTGTTTAAAGGTTCACAATCTCCCCTGCATGCTCAAACTCAAAATTTTCTGTTTAGTAAAAAACAGTTATCACGGCATATAATAAAGGTAATGTAGGATAACCCGGTCTCTTTATTATTAATAATCATTATTAATATGGCTTTCGTTCTTTTGACGCAAATTTCGACTGAATTATAATAATCAAACTTTGCTAAATGTTATAATCTTCGATTATGAATCATATATAAAGAATTAAGTGTTGCCATAATGCCAATGTACGATGATGAAAATAAACCATGGGGAAAAGCAGACGTTGAAAAACTAACTCAAGCAGTTGGAAATTATGGGGAGGATTGGACATTCATTTCTGAAAAAGTTTTTTTAAATTTAAGATCAGGTCTAGCAATAGCAGAAAAATGGACGCGCATAAGATCCAAATTAGGTGTTAAA